CCCCAGGTCGGCAAGCGGTCGGCAAGCCCCAACAGGTCGTTAAGCCCCATCAGCAAGCCCAACAGGTCGTTAAGCCCCAGGTCGGCAAGCCCGGGTCGGCAAGCCCCAACAGGTCGTTAAGCCCATCAGGTCGGCAAGCCCCATCAAGCCCCATCAGGTCGGCAAGCCCATCAGGTCGGCAAGCCCCACGTTAAGCCCATCAGGTCGGCAAGCCCCATCTCGGTCGGCAAGCCCCAACAGTTCGTTAAGCCCCAGCAGGTCGGCAAGCCTCATCGGGTCGGCAAGCCCCAGCAGTCGGCAAGCCCCTCAGGTCGGCAAGCCCCAACAGTTCGTTAAGCCCATCAGGTCGCAAGCCCCATCAGGTCGGCAAGCCCCAACAGTTCGTTAAGCCCAGGTCGGCAAGCCCAACAGTTCGTTAAGCCCCATCAGGTCGGCAAGCCCCATCAGGTCGGCAAGCCTCATCGGGTCGGCAAGCCACAACAGGTCGTTAAGCCCATCAGGTCGGCAAGCCCAACAGTTCGTTAAGCCCCATAGGTCGGCAAGCCCCAACAGTTCGTTAAGCCCCATCAGGTCAAGGGGTCGGCAAGCCCCAGCGTTAAGTCAGGTCGCAAGCCCAACAGTTCGTTAAGCCCCCATCAGGTCGGCAAGCCCCATCAGGTCGGCAAGCACCAACAGTTCGTTAAGCCCCATCAGGTCGGCAAGCCCCAACAGTTCGTTAAACCCCAGTCGGCAAGCCCCATCAGCTCGGCAAGCCTCATCGGGTCGGCAAGCACAACAGGTCGTTAAGCCCATCAGGTCGGCAAGCCCCAACAGTTCGTTAAGCCCCATCAGGTCGGCAAGCCCAGGTCGGCAAGCCCCAACAGTTCGTTAAGCCCCATCAGGTCGGCCAGCCCCAACAGTTCGTTAAGCCCCATCAGGTCGGCAAGCCTCATCGGGTCGGCAAGCCACAACAGGTCGTTAAGCCCATCAGGTCGGCAAGCCCCACCAGGTCGGCAAGCCCCACCAGGTCGGCAAGCCCCATCAGGTCGAGAAACCCCAACAGTTCGTTAAGCTCCATCAGGTCGGCAAGCCCCATCAGGTCGGCAAGCCCCAGTTCGTTAAGCCCCATCAGGTCGGCAAGCCCCAACAGTTCGTTAAGCCCCATCAGGTCGGCAAGCCACAACAGGTCGACAAGCCCCATCGGGTGGGCAAGCCCCAACAGTTCGTTAAGCCCCATCAGGTCGGCAAGCCCAGCAGGTCGGCAAGCCCCATCGGGTGGGCAAGCTCCAACAGTTCGTTAAGCCCCATCAGGTCGGCAAGCCCCAGCAGGTCGACAAGCCCATCGGGTGGGCAAGCCCCAACAGTTCGTTAAGCCCATCAGGTCGGCAAGCCCATCAGGCGGCAAGCCCCAACAGGTCGTTAAGCCCAGGTCGGCAAGCCCCATCAGGTCGGCAAGCCCCAACAGGTCGTTAAGCCCCATCAGGTCGGCAAGCCCATCAGGTCGTTAACCCCATCAGGTCGGCAAGCCCCATCAGGTCGGCAAGCCCCATCAGGTCGGCAAGCCCATCGGGTGGGCAAGCCCCAACAGTTCGTTAAGCCCCATCAGGTCGGCAAGCCATCGGTTCGGCAAGCCAACAGGTCGTTAAGCCCAATCAGGTCGGCAAGCCCCATCAGGTCGGCAAGCCCCATCAGGTCGTTAAACCCCCATCAGGTCGGCAAGCCCCATCAGGTCAAGGGTTCGGGTGGGCAAGCCCCAACAGTTCGTTAAGCCATCAGGTCGGCAAGCCCCATCGGTTTCGGCAAGCCCCAACAGGTCGTTAGCCATCAGGTCGGCAGGCTCATCGGGTCGACAAGCCCCAAGTTCGTTAAACCCCATCAGGTCGGCAAGCCCCATCAGGTCGACAAGCCCCATCGGGTGGGGCAAGCCCCAAAAGTTCGTTAAGCCCCATCAGGTCGGCAAGCCCCATCAGTCGGCAAGCTCGGCCCATGCAGTGGGGCAAGCCCCAACAGTTCGTTAAGGCCCNTCTCCCTCCCTCCCTCCCTCTCCCTCTCGAATCCCTGAACCAAAGTAACGAAATTGATGTCTGCATAATAAGCGCTTCGTTTTGATGGTTGCATAAATCGTTGGCAGCTTCTTGATTTGAAGAAATGCAGAAAGTGTTTTCTTGGGCGAAAGAATCTCTTAAAGTGCAATTAAGATAGATGTTCATGAGGTTCGGGGCGTGAGTTAGGTTTAAGTTTTCGTTGTGAGAGTATAGGTAGTTTATGGTTTTTTCCTCTGGTCTGTCTGTCTGTCTGATCTGTCTCGTGTCTCTGTCTCTGTCTCTGTCTCTGTCTCTGTCTCTGTCTGTCTCTCTGTCTTTTCTGCTCTCTTCTCTCTCTCTCTCTCTCTCTCTCTGCTCTTCTCTCTTCTCTCTCTCTCTCTCTCTCTCTCTCTCTTCTCCTCTCTCTTCTCTCGATATCTATTTCTCTCTCTCTCTCTCGATTCTTTCTCTCTCTCTTCTCTTCTACGACTCTCTTCTCTCTCTCTCTCCTCTCTCTCTCTCTCTCTCTCTTCTCTCTCTCTCTCTCTCTCTCTCTCTCTCTCTCTTTCTCTCGTCTCTCTTACTCGGTTGGTTTAGGTATTACCAGCAATCAATAAACTGATAAGTAATATTCAATTGATTAGTATAATACATAAATGATTAGATTAAAGAAAATAATAAAGCGTTTTGGACTAACAGGGCTCGCCGTTAACACCTTGAGCCAAATTGAAACTAAATTTCTTTAATCACCTTCAAAGGTTAAACAAAAAACAACACAACAACAACAACAACAAAAAAAAAACACTGAAAAAAATGTGGCGAGTCATCGTACCAAACGAACGTATCAATGTGTGTGCGTGTGTGTGTGCGTACATGTGTGTGTGTTTGTGTATCATGTGTGTGACTGTTGTGTGTGTGTATGGTGTGGTGTGTGCTTTGTGTAGTCCATGTGTTGTGCATGTGTGTGTGTGTATGCATGTATGTGTGTGTTTGTGCGTCCATGTTGTGCGTGTGTGCTGTTTGCTGCGTATCCATGGTTGTGCATTGTAATGTGTGTGTGTTTGTGTCTTGTTACATGTGCCTTGTGTGCGTTGTATGTGTCTGTGTTTTCGGGAAAGCGGCCGCCCTGTGTGTACAACCCGCGCGGTTTATCCTCACCGTGGAGTTAGTTGCAACGGTAAAACGAATAAAATTTACGTTTTCATATACTACCGCCGAGTTTCATATCGGAAAGGAATGTTTCATATTGCAAGTAACCCGAATCTCGCAACAGAGTGAGTTTCAATGTTGCAGAAACGGGATATTTACCCACGTGTGGAAAAAAGCCGAGAATTTGGAAAACCGAATTTTTTTTGTTTTTTTTTTGTCATCGAAATAGAAAAAGGTTATTATATTTAAGTTTTTTTTTTTTTTTTTTTTTTTTTTTTTTTAATTTTTCTGTCCAGCTATTCTTGTTATGAATTATTTAAGTTTTTGTTTTTTTATTTCTGTCCATATTCTTGTTATGAATTATTAAGTTTTTTTGTTTTATTTTCTGTTATTCTTGTTTATGAAATTATTTAAGTTTTTGTTTTTATTTTCTGTCCATATTCTTGTTATGAATTATTTATTTGTTTTTCCCTCGTGGACTAAAATGCTAGAAATGGTAAGTACAATATGGTTTAAAACCCAAACTTATTTCGAAAATGATATAAATTTTATTGCTGAAACCGACCGTTTTTTGCCATATGATAAATTGTGTTATTTATCCAATATTACTGTCACTATATTGTTGTTATTGATTCTATTTATTGTATATTTATTCATTATTTATTAGTAGTAGTAGTAGTATTAATGGTAGTAGTATATTAGTATATTAATAATGATAATATGATGATATGATAATGATAATAATAAAAATAATAATGATAATGATAATAATGATAATGATGCATGATAATAATAATAATAATAATAATAATAATAATGATAATGATAATAATGATAATAATAATAATAATAATAACATAATAATAATAATAATAATAATGATAATATTGTATATAATAATAATAAAATGAAGATTAATAATAATAATAATAACCAATAATGATAGTGGATGATAGTAATAATTTTTATGATGAATAGTAATAAAAATAATAACAGTAATAATGATAATGATAATAATGAAAATAATAATAATAGATAATAATAAGGGAAGACGGAGCGGCCATCACATGATAAGAAGAAAATGGAAAAAAAAGAATAAAGCAAAAACAAAGAGAAGAATGAAGAAAGAAAGAAGAAGAAGAAAAGTAGAAGAAGAAGAAGAAGAAGAAAGGAGAAGAAGAAGAAGAAGAAGAAGAAGAAGAGAGAAGAAGAAGAAGTAATAAATGATTAATAATTGGATAATAATTAATAAGAAGATTAAGAAGAGAAGCAAGAGAAGAAGAAGAGAAGAAGGAAATAGGAGGAGGAAAACCTTAAATACAAAAAGAAGAAAAAGAAGACGAAGAAGAAAGAGAACACCTGATAATAAAGACAGACAAAGACCAAAGACTCCCCCCCCCCCCCCCCCCCCCCCCCAAGGACAGGGAGGAGAGGGCGGAGACGCGGATAAAATGGTGACGAAAACGGAGCAGATAAGGAGGATTAAGCCACTCAGGGAGGGAGGAGGAGGGAGGGAGGGAGGGTGGGTGTGGGTGTGGTTGGGGGCAGGAGAGGCGCGGTCGAGAGAACAAGCCGCGGCGTCAGCGGGGAGGCGGAGGGAAACAGCCGCTGGGGAAGCGTCGCCCAGGAGCGTCAAAAAGCGTTTCCTTGGGCGGTTCTGGGCCTTCCTGCCTCTCTTCTCTTTCTGTCTCTTCTCTCTCTTCTCTCTGGGTCTCGTGGGTCTCTCTTTCTCTTGTCTCTTTCTGTCTCTCTCTCTCCTCTCGCGTGGCTCTCTGTGTCTCTCTTTCTCTGTTTCTTTTTCTGTCTCTCTCCCTCTCTCGTCTTCTGGCTCTCTGTGTCTCTCTTTCTCTGTTTTGTCTATTCTCTCTTTCTCTATCTCTTTTTCTCTGTTTCTTTTTCTCTGTTTCTTTCTCTCTCTCTCTCTCCTCTCTCTCTCTCTCTCCTCTCTCTCTCTCTCTCTCTCTCTTCTCTCTCTTCTCTCTCTCTCTCTCTCTCTCTCTCTCCCTCTCTTCTGTTTCTGTCTCTCTCGCTCGCCTTCTCTCTCCCCCTTTCTCTTTCTCCTTCCTCCCATTCTCCCGTCGCTCACTTGATTCCTGTCTCCTTTTTACAGTCTTTTCGTTTCCTTTGGTTTCTTTCTGTTCTAATTAGTCTTTCAATCCTCTTCCTTCTTCTCCTTCTCTGTCCTCTTCTTCTCTCTCCTCCTCTTTTTGCTTTCACTCCTCCACTTCCACCTTCTATTTTTTTTCTTCTGTCTCCTACTCCTCCTTCCTCCTTTTTCTCTCCTGCCTCCTCCTCCTTTTCCTTCTCTCTGCCTCCCCCTTTTCTTCTCTCCCCCATCTCGGCCATACCCTCCTCTTTCCTACTCGCTCCTCTCCCCCTTCCCATTACATCCCCCTTCTTCCCTCCCTCCCCCCCCCTTCCCCCATCCTTCCCTTCCTCCCTCCTTCCCTTCCCTTCCCTCCCTCCCTCCCTACCTTCCCTTCCCCCCTCCTCCCCTTCTCTCCTATCCTCCCTCCTCCCTCAATCTTTCGCTACCTCCCCCTCCTCCCCTCCTCCGGCCTCTCTTTTTATAAAATGCCCGGTGAGTTTAAGTTGCCCAGTTAGGCATTATTGGAACCCCCCCCCCCCACCCGCCACCCCGCCCACCCCGCCCACGGTTTGAGGCTGTCGCGTTTCGGCAGAGGCGTCTGAGTCTGAAAAGGGTTTTATAGTCTAACCCTTCACTACCGCTTGCTAAGAAAAGAAAAAGAAAAAGAAAGAAAGAGGAAGAAAGAAGGAAGGGAAAGGAAGGAAGGAAGGAGGGAGGAAGGAAGGAGGAAGAAGGAAGAGGAAGAGAAAGAAAGAAAGAAAGAAAGGAAGAAAGAAAAAAAAAGAAAGAAAGAAAGAAGGAAAGAAGAAGAAGAAAGAAAGAAAAAAAGAAAAGAAAAAATACCGGAAATCGTTGCTAATACCCACTTTTTTTTTTCCTTTTTTGAGTCTTTCAGAAAAAAAGTAAGACAATGGTTGTAAATGATATAATGTAATCGTAATAAAATAGAAGCGATTTAAAGAAAAAGAAATTTAACCCTTTCGCTACGACAAGGCAAAAATCCTGAAAACCTGTCTACCACATACCCACTTCTCTCTCTTTTTTCCTTTTTCTTCTCTCTTCTACTCAATCTTAAGAAACAAAAACGAAAAAAGGGAGAACAAAACATGGATGATTCAATGAAAATGGGAAACATCCTTCTATCTTCCTTCATAAAGTTAGGAAAGGGAAAATTATTCCTCCCAAGTCGAGGTCGATTCGGGAAGCTTGTAGACACTCTCCGGCGGGAACTAACAAGACACGGCTGCCAACAAGGGTTTTTTCGCCTAAGCCTTTTTGTTATATTCTCTTTTTTTTTATCTTTTTTTTTCCTTTCCGGTACGTGCTAAATCAGCCTTTTTTTTCTTATATCCTTCTTTCATTCATATTTTTTTCCTACGGTACTAAATCAGCCTTTTTTTCTTATATCCTTTTTTCATTCATTTTTTTTCCAAGTCCGGTACAATACGGTACTAAATCAGCCTTTTTTTTTCTTATATCCTTTTTTTATTCATCTTTTTTTTTCTTTTTTTTACATTACTTCAGCCTTTTTTTTTCCCCTTCTTTTTCCAAGCCCGTACAACACGTTCTAAATAGAGTTTTTCAAAATCTCTTCTATTTTATTTATTTATTTTTTTTTTTTAAGCTTTTTTATTTTTTTTTAGTAGACCTCGGTGTCATGTCAGAAAGGTTCCGGTCACATGAGTCATACATACCCTTCAGGTATGCAGTCACTAGAGAATTTTGAGGAGGAGGAGGAGGGGGGGGGAGGACGGATAGAGGAGAGAGGAGGGATGGAGGAGGAGGAAGGGAGAGGAGGAGGAGAGAGGAGGGAGTAGAGTGGGAGGAGGTGGAGGAGTAGAGGAGGAGAGGTTTAGGAGAGGTGAGGAAGAGGAGTAGGAAGAAGGAGGAAGAAGAGGTGAGAGAGAGAAAATTAATAATAATAATAAGGAGGAGCCCGAGAAGAAGAAGAAGAGTGTAGTAGAAGAAGAAGAAGAAGAGAAAAGAGGAGTGGAGAACAGGACAAGACTGGACATTTAATTTATACGTGGGGGGTCGAGGTCTCAGATGTGGTATGAGGCAGAAAAAGAGATTGGTGATGGCACTTAAAAGACAGGAGATGGGTACTGGGTATGATGGTTGGGTAGGAGAAGGGGGATTGGGTACAAGGGGGGGCATAGTAACTGGGTATTGCATGGCGCGCACGGGAGGGATTAGCGGTAGAAGGAGGAGGAGGAGTGAGGAGGAGAGTAGGAGGAGGAGAGGAGGGGTAGAGAGAGAGGAGGAGGAGACGAGGGTAGGAGAGAGGTAGGAGGAGCAGGGGGAGGAGGAGAGGAGAGGAGGAGGGGAGAGGATGGAGGAGGGGAGGAGGAGAGGAGGAGATGAGCGAAGGAGGAGGAGGAGGAGGAGGGGAGGAGGAGCAGAGAGGAGGGAGGAGCGAGAGAGCTAGGAGGAGGAGGAGGAGAAGGAGGAGGAGGAAGAAAAGGTGGATTAGCCGTAGGAGAGGAGGGAGGGGAGGGAGAGTGAGAGAAGAAGAAAGAAGAAGAGAAGAAGAGAAGAGAAGAAGAAAAGAAGAAGAAGAGAGAGAGGAGAAGATAGAGAAGAGAAGAGAGAGAGAGAAGAGAAAAGAAAGAAGAGAGAAAAGAGAGAAGAAAGAAGAAAAGAAGAAGTAAGAAGAAGAAGGAGGAGAGGCAGGATTGGTAGAAGGAAGAGGAGGAGGGGGGAGGGATGGGAGGGAGGAGGAGGAGGAGGAGGAGAGAGAGGAGACGGAGGAGGAGGTGGAGGAGGAGGAGGAGAGGAGGAGAGGAGAGGAGCAATGAGAGGAGAGGAGGAGAGGAGGAGTTAGAAGGAGGAAGGGTAGAAGTGGAGGAGGGGAGGAGGGAGGAGGAGTAGGAAGAGGAGGGGAGGAGGAGAGGAGGAGAGGGGAGGAGGAGGAGGAGAGTGGGGAGATGTAGGGAGAGGAGTGGGAGGTGGAGCAGGAGAGGAGAGCAGGAGGGGGAGAGGAGGAGAGAGGGGGAGGAAAGGGTTTGCGAAGGATGCGAGGACACCGCAAGGCGTCGGATTTTCGTTAAGGAGAGAACGCGCTAACCTCCCCCTCCCCCCTTCCTCCTCTTCCTTCTTTCTCTCCCTTCTCTTCCTCCCCCTTTACTCCTACTTCTCCTCCTCCTTCTCTTCTCCTCTCTCCCTCTTCTTACTCTTCTCCTTCTTCTTCCTCTCCTCCTCCTCCTCTCTTCCTCTTTAACTCCTTCCTCCTCTTCCTCTCCCCTGCCTCCTCCTACCATTTCCTCCTCCTCCTACCCTTTCCTCCCCTCCTCCTTATTCTCCTTCCTCTTACCTACATTTCTCTCTTCTTCTCCTCATTACTCCTCCTTTCCTCCTTCTCCTCCTCCTTTCCTTCCTCTCTCCTCCTCCTCCTCCTCCTCCTCTCTCCTCCTTTTCTTCCTTCTCCTCCTCCTTCTCTCCTCCTCCTCCCCCCTCTCCTTCTCCCCTCCTCCTCCCTCCTCCTTCTTTCCTCCTCTTCTTTCCTCCTCCTGCCTCCTCCTCCTTCCTCCTCTCCCCTTCCTCCCCCCCCCTCTCCTCCTTCTTCCTTCTCCTCTCCTTCCTCCTCCTCCTCCCCCGTGGGTGTCTTAACCGTGCTGCCAAATTGGCGGAGGTTACAGGCTTATGGGCCGCCCAGATGAAGCCATTGTGTGTTCTGTCTGTCTGTCTGTCTGTCTGTCCTGTCTGGTCGCTGTCTGTCTGTCTGGATCGTTGTATCGTCTGTCTGATGTTTGTTGGATCGCTCTCTATCTCATTTTCTGTCTGACCGTATCTGCTATCTTTTCGCTTTTTGATGTCTCTCTGTCTCTCTCTTTCTCTCTCTCTCTCTCTCTCTCTCTCTCTCTCTCTCTCTCTCTCTCTCTCTCTCTCTCTCTCTCTCTCTCTCTCTCTCTCTCTCTCTCTCTCTCTCTCTCTCTCTCTCCCCTCCCTCCCTCCCTCCTTCCCTCTCCCTCTCCCTCCCCTCCCCTTCCCCCTCCCCCCTCCTCCTTCCCTCCCTCCCCCCCTCTCCCCCCTCTCCCCCTCTTCTCTCCCTCCCTTCTCCCCTCCCCCTCTCCCCCTCTCCCCCAACCATCCACACCGCCCCTCTCATTTAAACCTCTTTTCTTCTTTTTCTTTTCTTTTTTTTCTTCTTTTATATTACATATTTGTGTCCATTTATAGCATTTCTTGGGTGAGAGAGTACCGGCCAACTCTCTCTTCCGATCTGCCAGCGGCTTAGGATGCTCGTTTCTCCATGAGGCAGACAGGTTTCCATTTAGCTTTTAATGCAGGCAAGATTGTGAATTATTGTTGTTTTATTATTGTTGTTGTGTTATTTATATTATTGTTGATTATTATTATCATTATTATTATTCGATTATTAGTTATTATTACATTATTATTATTTTTAGTAGTAGTGAAGTATCGTAGAGTAGTATCATTATTGATTTATTATTATTATCATCTTTATTTGTCATTATTATATTTTTAGGTTTTCATTTAGCTTTTAATGCAGCAAGATTGTGAATTATTGTTATTATTATTGTTGTTGTTGTTGTTATTAGTGTTATTATTGTTGTTATTGTTATTATTATTATTATTATTATTATCATCTTTATTTGTTTATTATTTTTTTAGGTTTTCATTTTAGCTTTAATGCAGCAAGATTGTGAATTATTTCATTATTATTGTTTTGTGTTGTTATTAGTGTTATATTGTTGTTATTGTTATTTATTATTATTATTTAGTTATTATTATCATCTTTATTTGTTTATTATTTTTAGGGTTTTCATTTAGCTTTTATGCAGCAAGATTGTGAATTATTGTTATTATTATTATTGGTATTATTATTATCATTATTATTTTATTATTATATTATTATTATCATTTCATTATCATTATCATTATCATTATCATTGTATCATTCATTATCATTATCATTATCATTATCATTATCATTAATTACATTATCTTATCATTATCATTATTTTTATATTATATTAAATCTATTATTATTTATTATTATTATTATTATTATTATTATCATCATTATTTTGTTTATTATTTTTTTAGGTTTTTATTTAGGCTTTTAATACAGCAAAGATTTTAATTATTGTTATTATTATTATTGTTTATTATTTATTATTAATTGTTTATTAATTAAATTATTATTATTATTAATTATTCATTAATTATTAATTATTATTATTATTTATTATTATTATTATGTATTATTATTATTATTATTATATATTATTATCATTATTATTATTATTATTATCATTATTATTATTATTTATTATTATTATTATTATTATCATTATTATTATTACTATTATTATTATTATTATTATTATTATTATTATTATTTTATTATTATTATTATTATTATTATTATTATTATTATTATTCATTATTATTAATTATTATTATTATTATTAATTATTATTATTATATTAATTATTATTATTATATCTTTATTTGTTTATTATTTCTTTATTATTAGCTTTTAATACAGCAAGATGTGAATTATTGTTATTATTTATTATTGATTATCGTTATTATTATTATTATTATTATTTATTATTATTATTATTATTATTATTATTATTATTATTATTATTATTATTATTATCTTATTATACTATTATTATTATCATTATTATTATTAATTATATTATTATTATTATTATTATTTTTATTATTATGATTTTAGGATTTTATTTAGCTTTTAAATCAGCAAGGTTATTAATTATATATATTTTTTTTGAGGAAAGGAATTCGTTTAAAGGACTGGTTGTTGGGGTTGTATATAGTTGTATTTCTCATTTTATTTTATATGTTTTAGGTTCTCACTTAGATTTTAATTCAGTAAGGTTGTTAATTGTTGTTTTTTGAGGAAAGGAATTCGTTAAAGAGACTGGTTGTTGGGGTTGTATCTAGTTGTATTTCTTATTGTATTTTGTATGTTGTTTTTAATGGTTTTCGTTTCATGGTAATATTCTGTGTTTTGGTGTTGTATTTTGTGTCGTGTAGTCGTATTTTTGTAGGCTATGGTAGTCTGTATTCTGTGCGTTACTGTATTTTGTAGTCTATAACTGTATTTTGCATTTTATACTTTGGGCCAAATGGACAATATCAATTCATATGCAAATTTTTACCTCGTGCCTACACCTCCTCCTCTTCCCATACCCCCTCCCTCTCTTTTATCCCTCTCTCTCTTCCCTCTTTCTCCACCAAACCTCTTTTTGCTATCATCTCTCACCCCCTCTCTCTCCATCTTTCTTTCTCCTCTTTCCTATATCTCTTCTTTCTGTCTCTTTTTTTTATCGGTTTTCGCTTCTCTAGCTTTCTTATTCAACTTCGTTACCTGTTTCCATTTTTTTCTTCTCTCCCTTCTTTCGTACACTCTTTTCTTTTGCTTTTCTTCCCTTCTTCTTATCCTCTTCCTTTCCCCTTCTTATCCCTCCTTCTTCCATTCACTCTTTTCCTCACTTCTCTTTTTCCTTCTGTTTATCATTCTCTTTTTCGCTTTTCTTCTTGTTTTTTCTCTCTCTCCCCTTCTCCGCTAGACAACTTCTTTATCTTTCTCCTTTTTTTTCCCTTCTCCTGCTTTTCATTCTCTTTTTCTCGTTTCTTCTTGTTCTCTCTCTCTCTCTCCCCTTCTCCGTCAGACAGCTTCCTTATCTTTCTCCTTTTTTTTCCTCCTGCTTTTCATTCTCTTTTTTCTTGCTCTCTCCCCTTTCTCCGGCACAACTTCCTTATCTTTCTTCCTTTTTCCTTCTCCTGCTTTTCATTCTCTTTTTCTCGTTTCTTCTTGTTTCTCTCTCTCTCTCCTCCTTCTCCGCAGACAACTTCCTTATCTTTCTCCTTTTTTTTCCTTCTGCTTTTCATTCTCTTTTTCTTGTTCTCTCTGTTGTCTTCTCTCTCCCCTTTCTTCGGCAGACAGACATTCTTCTTTTTCTTGTTTTCTCTCTTCTTTCTAACTTCCTTATCTTTTTCCTTTTTTTTTCCTCCTGCTTTTCATTCTCTTTTTCTTGTTTTCTCTCTCTCTCCCCTTCTCCGGCAGACAGCTTCCTTCTCCTCTTGTCTTCCTCGTTGGCACTCCATTTCCTCCTCCAGTTGGCACCCCATTTCCTTCTACCCCTTATGTTTCGCACACCGTTCTCCCCCCCCCCCCCTTTACCCCTGCCCTCCTCCCTCCCCCTTCCCTGTCCCCTATCCTTCTCTTGTCTCTATTCCTATCTTCGTCTTCTCTCTTT